CTATTTTCTTAAGAGCTGAATTCCTATTGGTTTCCAAACAACCAATCAGATTTTGAAACAAATGGACCTCAGATTCAAACTCGCCGCCCCTAAAAACCCCCTGCCCCATCATTTCCTTGAAAGTATAAGTGTTTGAGTTTATTTTCTTAAGAGCTGAATTCCTATTGGTTTCCAAACAACCAACCAGATTTCGAGGCAAATGGACACCAGATTCGAACTCACCATCCTCGAAAACCTCTGGTTCCATATTTCTGTGTGTTCACGAAGTGGTACTCAACAGTACTTCTACAGTACCGAATACTGCAATCTGATTGGTTAGCAATATAGGCAGGTTTTATCCGGACGAAGGACCAACTTTTTTGAAAAAAAAGTAGACGTCGACCTTCCCCTGGGTGAGAGGAACATTCTTGGAAAGTTTGGTTGCATTTGCTCGTACCGTTTGGGAATGCATAGCGAACAAACAAACAGACAAACATTCTTCTTTATATATATAGATTAGTCGTTTTCCAAAAAATTCTAGATCATTCAATAGAACTAATCGAGATGGGTGAATCGGCATGAGTTGTAGCCAGGACACATCTTGTGGTGTAACTTTCAGCAGAATATATATTGCGCTGTGACTTAGGTGTAGGATTTTGAGCAACTTGAACCTCAATTTTCTTTTTCATCGATCCAACTTATGTATCCATCAGTAGATTGCAGCAAGCTAAATCGAATGCAAAAGATTTCCCACATAATACATGTCGTAGAGCGAATCGTCAGATGAAATACCTTGTAAAATATTTATGTTATGGGTTTTAAATATCTCAAAACTTCTTTCATATTATTTTCGAAAAAATATTATAATCATGATTAGATAAAGCACATCGAGTTGGATCGAATAAGATAAATTTCGATAATGTCATAGTTTCTGAATCAAATAATTTTAGTGAATATTAATTTCTTCTTTTTTCGATATAGTGAAAACCATCTATCAAATACACAATATCTCATTTGTTTGATACATATGGCTTAGTAAATCATCCTCGAGAAGACTTGAATCTTTGCTAACTTGACTTTATGGATCGATACATATTAAGGAGTTAAATTAAATAATCAGGATTTACAGTAGTTTTTCGATATAGATGAACGAATTGGCAAATATATTTGCTCGATTCTTTATATCCGAATCTGCACGAAACCATGTGTTCAGAGAACCCTGCAAAATTTCGATTTCATTTCAAAAGTCGGTATCTTTGAAGGTGGTGTATTACAACTTTTCTTCAGCGTAATGCGCCATATAGTGTTGATTAAGAAAAGATGAAAAGAGTCCGACATAGATCACAGCGTATAAATTCCTATGGAATTCATAGAGGTGTTGAAAATGTGTTTCACAACGAGTTTTAGTTCTTTTCAAGCAAGAATCTTCCCTAACACGTGAAAGCCTTCTTCTGCACTGTATCTACTCGAGCTCCATCAAAGTTACTAGATGGTAGAGAATTAGAATATGATGATCGATCGTTGATTAGTGGCGTTGGAAAATGAAACCTATCCGTATTATACACAGCAGTATTAGCTAGATAAAAATATGTGATAACAGACTGAGATAAGCTATCTATGCTTGTGGCACTAGCATTGTTTTCTCAAAACGTTTACTACTGATAAATTTGAATGCAGTAGTTTTGAGTACGAGGATTTCACTTTGAGAAATTCCAGTTTAAATTGAAGCGCACTAACATGAAATGATTGAAGTTAAAGTTTGTTATATCTCTTATGTTTTTTTTTGTCGATGAAAGATAATTGATACTATAAATTAAACTTTCACTGCACCAAATTGAATTCTGTAATCGGTAGCGACAACGGCGATTATCTGTCCGAATAATCAATCATGCATTCTGGCTGTTTTCTGTGTGTCATGTGAGCATTCTTTTGAATGATTGCTCTTTTACTATCTTCAAAGAACTATTCTTTTTTAATTTTTTTAGACTTGCATTCAGTACCGGTTTGTCTCTTAAAAAATAGTACAGGTCGTATCTATTCATTTGAATGATGTTATTTTTTTCTTAACTATAGTGTTTTTTCTCGTCAACTGCATCGATGTGCAATCTGAAATTCAATGTGATCCGTCCGCGGGCGGACCCTGTTCTGAAAAACCCTATTGCTGGTGCGCATCGTTAATAACAGGAGGAGGTATTTGTACAATTGGAATCCGATGCGCTGCTGCAATATCTTGTGATGCCAACAATCCATGTCAAGAAATGAATTCAACTTGTGTCTTCGATAATCGATGTGGTGCTGGCGGTGTGTGCTGCCCAGACATATTATTCAGGACAGAATTTTGTCCACCCATCGCTCGGGCATAAACACAACATACTGGTCCTCTTATCCATGAACAACAGTTGAATTCCACTAACTTTGTCCAAAAATTTTCCATTTAATTTCGCTTTATTTCCGCTAATAAGCATGAGAAAATACATCAGAAGATCATTTAGTGAAAGTTTATGGTGCGACGATTTAAAGTCCCTTAGGTGTGAGTGTGAATGAATCTTCGAGAAGAAATCTACACCTACACTAAGACACACCAGCATCCACCCACACTCACATCTACACCCTAGCGTAACCACCAGCCGACTACTTTCTCACCATCACCCACT